CTTATCTACATTCAAGACACTCACACACACCACCATGATTGAGTTTCTACACACAACTTTTGGATCTTGAGGGAGGGGAGGAAGAAAGAGAGAGCTGGTTATCGATTTTTTTACATGACACCACTCATTGTCCAAAGTGATTGGGCGTCCACTCGTCCTGCCATGGCTGACCAGCTCTCATCTCCGCTGCTTTCTCCACCATCTCTCGAGCCTTCAGCATTATCTCTGGTTTTACTCAAGATGTTTGAGGCACAAAAAGGGTGCTGGCTCACATACAAGCTCAGGCACTCCTCTGCCCTTCCTGAGACCTGATCATAATCCCGATCAGTTGTATGTGACTATGAGTTAGATGTGCAAACAGGAATTGGCCAAGTTTAATTAAAGAGGATGAGCTGTGCATATCTGTGCAAATATGTGGCTTTTTTAAAATCCTGCACTCATCTGAGAGTGAGGAAGTAGGCCTGTGCTTAAAGGAGTGAATTTACAGGCCGTGTTTGGGACTGGATGGTAGTATAAGGTGTGTGTATAAGTGTGAATGTACAGTAGGTGTGTCCATTCTCCTGTTTCTGTACATTTTCAGACAGCAGCAGTGTGTGGAGAAAAAACAGTGCAGGATCCCAGTAGAACTGTCGATATTGAACGATTCTATACCTCATGATTCACGATCAAGGTTTAATGCCAACGCAGGAAGGAGCTGCCCTTTACTAGATGTAGTTATGTTTTATATTTAGACAGTGGCATATGGTGAAAGTGTGGAGATCAAGGAGAAGGATGGACATGTAGTAAGTCTGACTTTAATGCTTTAAGTCTGACTTTTTGTCCTGTTCCAAACCTGCAATTAACTTTGACTGTTTAATTTGGACGTTTACCTAACATTTACCTCGCTAAGTGTTTAGTTGCCTAATCCTAGCCGTAGTTTATTTACCATAAACAATCTTTCCCTAACCTCACTTTTACCATATTTGCCATGTGGAGATTTTACAGAAAACAAGAACTCTGTGTGATCCTGGGTTCACAGAATCGTCTAGTCCCTTCGTTCATTTCAATGATACACAGCAAAAAAACTGAACCTAGCTGAACTTTTATTTTGTAACGTGAATGGATTCATTCTACCATTTACCTCGCAATGAAGGATAAAGTGATTGTTGCATGTATTATATTCTTTTTTAGCATTTGATAACCCTTCAAACTATTGGATTTAATACTCAAATTACTCAAATCCTGGAGTGCATTTAATTATGTCACTGCTACTTGAAACAACAAGGCACCCGCAACAACACAGACCCTTGCATTTGAGGATTATGATTTGGGTGTAGAAAAAAATTTAATCTAAGATTGAATTAAAATGAATATGAAGGGTAAAGTTGCCAGTATACTTCATCAAAGCTGGTTGAATGATAGCTTTGGAAGTACCCTATCCGTGAACACCTTTCCACTGTTGGACACTGTTGGACTGTTGTCTGACACTGACACCCACCTCATGCCATGTTGTGTGGGAGAAAATCAACCGGGTTTGAACTTCTCTCTCTAGAACTCCAAAATTGCCCTGTCACACATGTAGCATGCAACAGAAGATTGTCCCAGTCAGACACATTCTCATCTACTGGAAATACTCCATTTGGTTTAGGCAAGGGCTGGTGCCTGGGTGGCGCATGCAGGAGAAATGATAGAAATTAGGGACGTCATGACAACCGATACTTTGGTAACAAGGCGATGCCTATATTCTGAAAATGTGACGGTACTGTTTCTTTACAGTATCATAGGAACCATTCCACTGTGACTGACGAGGGCAATATAATAACCCCACAAGCATCCTTGTCTGACATCAAATTCAAAGAGAAGAAGGCAGGAAGTTAGTAGAAGTTATATGGCACTTTTAGTGTGTATAACCAGGTGCAAGACTATGATTGCCATCCAAGAGGGACATGTGCACCATTATCCCCATGTTAAAGCAACCTCCTGTTACTGCCTTCTCTATGGCAAGTGTGGCTGTTCAGAACAGGTTAAACAACTTTTGCACTCTGACTTCATACTAACGGCTTCTTTTCGAACATAACCTTAAGGTTGCACAAACATTTAATAAGTCATTTAAGACTGGTAGTGTAATCCAAGTCTCCCTGTTGACATGAATAAATCAACTGACAGAATATCTGCCTCTCTTCTTTAACTACAAATACAGTGGTATGCCTGATGCCCATATAATAATAATCTGCTCTCTCTTAACCAGTGTATGATCTAATCCAATTTTTCTAACCCAGTTATGATCTTTGCATGTTATGACCCAAACCTGAGGCACCGTATTGGAAAGCAGATTTGTCTGTGCATGAATACACACACACTGTGGTTTACTCTCTTTAAGGATAAAAGTACATGGTGCCAAAAGTCTCAGTGGGAGGTGGGTGTTGGCTGTGTCTGGCCCTGGCATCACCTTAAGATGGGGAGGAGGAGAGGACAACATGGCCAACAGCTGCTTGTCTGTCTGTTCTGTCTACCAGCTACAACGCCTGCAAACCCTCCTGCCAAGTGCATAGAATCACAATTTGAATTCCACTGTCTGTATTTCACAGTCCAGTAATCTACCCTATTGTATATTTCTATTCCTCCTTTGCACTTAGTCCAATTTCCCTTTTGACCGAATACTTGTGGGTGGCCAGCTTTGATATTTGGCTCACTTTAGGATTACACTGCATCTTTAGATAATGTTTGGTCTTTTTGTGTTTCTGGTTTAACATAAATAAAATATATCCAAAGGGGAAAACTGCAGCTATGAATATAAAGTCAATGTTTACTACAAAGGTATGGCTCATTTTCCCTTGATGGTTGCTGTTTCCATTACTCAAGCTGAAAACATATCCGTTCATGCAGAATTATTTCCCTGCTTTATTCTCTGTATGGACTGAATTATTAGATGCACACATTTTCCCAGGAGTATCAGTGCTTTAAAGGCAGCATTAGATACAGATTTAGAAGAAGAATGTAAATGTGCATACATGCACATATACCCACCTATCCACCCACCCACACACACACACACACACACACACTCAAATTCCCCTGCAATATTTTGTCCTTATTCTGCAGTGCTATTATTTCACATTTCATGTCTTCTTGTTTTAAAGCAGTGTTGAAAACAACTTGCTGTATTTGTCTTCCCAAACCACTGCTTCCTTGTATCTTTTTTCATCTTTATAAATGGGATACAGCTCCTGCTCATTTGTCCAACATCTTTTGCCAAAGATCTCTGAAACAGAGTGGACAGGGTCCCATAGGACTGTCTACAAGAGAGGGGGAGCTCAGCCCCAAGCAGCTGTGTTCTGCCTGCCATAACTTTGGGAAAGCTCAGAACTGGTAATGGCCATGTTGTGTTGTGTATAGGATGGACACTGAAGTGTGATAGATGACTGGATCCTGTATTAATTATAGAAAGTGAAATACTGCTTTTAATTTATTGCTGTGGTTGATTTCTCACAACTGTATATTGAAATGTAAAACCCTGCAAAGGCGAATGACGAGAGAAAATACCACATCCAGAATCTGATAATACTGATTTCTCTAAGCATATTTTCAAGTCCAAATGGAAGTGACAGGTTACAACTAAAATGCCTTATCTTTAGCATATGGTGCGTGAGGTGATGATGATGAAGAGGTTCAGGTTACTCCAGCATTCTGCAGATAGCATTTATACAATATGTGAGTTAGTAATATCTACGTGATAATAAACAAGGTATGTGAGGGTGAGTCAGTATTTGCACATTTACAGCTTAATAATTCTAAATTTGCATGTATGTATAATGGTTGACACAGATTGAAATGGCTAGAGCACCTGAACCACACTGCCTCTTACTTGCCAGAAAAAAACCCTTCCAAGGTTTCTGAGGAAACACTCTTCATTGTTACTGAACCGAGCGAGGAGGTTTTTGTGAAAACATACTGTCAAAACTATTTGAGTCTTTTGCAAACAGAAGCACAACAAATGAGAATTTTACGCCAGATTTATGCCAGATTCATACCGTTGAAGCAAATATTTTTTAGTCATTCGGCAGAGGTCTGATTTTTCTATTTCTGAATATTGCGTCACTGTTTCAAATACTAATAATGTATAAATAAAAAATAAATAAGTTTGAGTTTCTCGATGTCAATTAGTTTTAGGGAATTTCAGTGTAGGCCTATTGCTCTTAAATGAAAAGCAACACTACCTGGGAGTACCTAATAATAGTGCTTACAATGACTCAATTATAAGGACATTACATTTGGCTTTATTCGTCCCTACAAAAGCCTAATTAGCAAAAACTCCATCTTAAACCATCTTAAGCCAGAGAAAGAAGAAAGAGACTGTCTTTACTCTACATAGCTACTTGATTTGGTTTTATTTTGTCATAAAACAGCCCACACATAACACCCATGTCCAAATATTCAAAAAAAAGTTATGAATTCAATACAACATGAAACATATGAGTAAGAAGCACAAAAGAGACGATAAGAAACAAACCAGTTGACTCTGTAGATGCTGAACCAAGCTGGTACTTGTAAAAATCATTGTGCTAACATAAAGGTGACAGTTCGGAGCATTCTCCAGCTTTCTCCATCTTAGCCTTTCCTCCTTTTTTGTTCAGAGGAACAACTTTCACCTGCTTAAATGTCGTTAGTCCCTGTAGCTTTTTTGACATTAACGCTGCAATATGCAAATTCTGGAAGTCAAGCTGGAAAGCAAACCACCCCTCCCCGCTCTGTTACGCTCCGCCAGCCCTCATCTACATCCTCATCATGCTGGCTGTGACAGGTGATGCGAGTAAGAAAGAAAAAAGAAAAAAAGTCACTCACTGCAGCTTTAAGACTGCTCAGAGATTTCTGAATATCGCTTTCATTAATGAATAGAAGTTCATATTTACCATCTTGCCCCTGACTGGAACGCAGCAACACGCCGTATGCGTCATCGTCCTTTGGTTGTGGGAATTGTAGTCTTTTCAATCGTAAGCCTCTGGTATTATTTGTCACGGGGAACTACAAGTTCCAGATTTATCATTGCGGAAGTAGTGCAACAAAACACTGCTTGGTTGCAGCAGCACCGTGGTGAAGATGTCTCATGTTGTGAAGAAAAGAAAATTAGACAAAACCCGCCAGGACAGACTTTACTTTGACAGCTATTCCGATGTGACTATCCACGAGGAAATGATAGCGGACCAAGTCCGAACCAACACGTACCGGACGGCAATCCTGAGAAACACTGAGTCCATTCGGGGGAAGGTCGTACTGGACGTCGGTGCAGGAACCGGCGTTTTGAGCGTCTTCTGTGCACAGGCCGGAGCCAAGAAGGTGTACGCTGTGGAGGCCTGCTCCATCGCCGAGCAGGCTGTGAGGATAGTCCGACAGAACAACCTCCAGGACCGAATAGAAGTGATCCGGGGCACGGTGGAGTCCGTGGACCTACCAGAGCAGGTGGAGGTGATAGTGAGCGAATGGATGGGTTACGCTCTCCTGCATGAGTCCATGCTCAACTCGGTCCTGTATGCACGCGACAAGTGGCTGAAGCCGGGCGGCCTCATCCTGCCGAGCAAAGCCGAGCTCTACATCGCACCGGTCAGCGACCCAGTGGTGGAGGACCGCCTACACTTCTGGTACACCGTCAAAGACCAGTACGGCGTAGACATGTCGTGCATGTCCGACTTCGCCCGGAGTTGTATCATGAACTCCGACATCACCGTGAACTCGGTGTCGGTCGAGGACGTGCTCTCGCACCCTGCCCGCTTCGCTGAGCTCGACCTGTATTCGGTGACCACGGAGGAGCTGCGTTCGGTGAAAGGTCAGTTCAGGTGCGAGTCGTTCGGCTCGGCGGCGGTGAATGCTTTATGTGTTTACTTCACGGTGACTTTCAACTGCCCGGACAAGCCGCATGTGCTCGTGCTCTCGACGTCCCCGTTCAAACCGGAGACGCACTGGAAGCAGGCGGTGCTGTACATGGACGCTCCGGTGGATGTGGTGCAGGACACCGTGGTTACCGGAGAGGTCAGCATGTATCCCTCGGAGGAAAGCGCCAGACATATATGTATCCATGTGGACTACACCATAGGAGAGCAGAAAAGACAATCCAAGACTTTCACCATTCCCGACTGGAGCTGCGAGGCTCAGCCGTAACATGTCACTCACATTCAAACATGAACGGTTTCGACTCCTCTCTCCAAAGTCACATTTAGTGCGTGTGAGAAGACACACAAACACACAATGGCTTCTACAAACGTTACGAATGTGAATTGCAGTACATGTTCTCAGTTTGGAGATGACAATGTTGTGACAACCACACCTAGAGATGTTCCAATACCATTTTTCCCTCTCCATACCTGAACTCAGCTGTATCAGTTGATACCAATCCATAGCTTTAAAAACAGCCGTGTACTACGTATGAGTAGGCGATGTGGCTCAGGTTAAACCTTTTGTAAAACATGAACAGATGAATGGCATGGAATCTTTCTTTTATTATCAAATCTGACTGTCAGTCACGCAAAAAAAAAAAATACATCTAGGAATAAATAACTCTTCCTACACTAGTTGTCCTACCACTGTCGCCACCCCTCTGAATTAAAGCCTTGTATACTGAAAACACTGCCCCCTCTCCAGTGTAACACGTTGCCAAATTGGTGAGATTTTGCTAAGAGCCAACGTTACACTATTTATCAGAAATGAATTATTTTTTGCTGCTCTAGAGCAGTATTTGCCAGTGGTGCCACAGCGCAACTTCCTGTGTAAGCTACTGAAGAATAATTGATTTCCGGGAAAACGTTTTATCCAGGTGTGAAAATATAAAGTTTATAAATAAATTATTTGGATCACTTGGATCAGTGCATAGACTTGCGCACTCAACAATACCTGATCCAGTATTTGAGGCAGTATTTGAGGTACTAGTATTGGTAATGGAACAACTCTATTGACACCTAAACTGAGAAGATGTGTACATCTGTAACACTTTTTCTATGCATATTTATTAACCTCATTTAACAAGGTGAAAAAGTGCTTTGAAAGTCACTACTAATGTGTTTGCAGTGCTTACATAAGTGTTTTTACGTGAGAACGCTGCAGTCATGTTGAGTCTGAACATTTTTGTATTCATATCACAGTGGAAATGGCATTTGAAACCGTATTTAAGCTTCACAAGAGACTAAAAGTTTCCTGAAAGTCAGATGAGTGGAATAGTTTTAGGTGGGCGTGGAGCTTCTTGAGGCAGGTTTTATTGGAGGTTTTACAAAGCTGATGAATAAATTCAACGCCACGCTGCAGACATCTGATATTCTAATAAATTCAATCATGCATATTGTGTGGAATCTGATCAAAATGCTGCATTCAGATGAGGATTAGACCAATATATTGACTTGGACTTGCTGTAGTGAGGCAAGAGGCTGCATCATACAGGAGGTGCTTGACTTTGGCTGCTATTCAGTTTCTTTTTAATGAAGGACCAAATTGGCTCACTGTCATCTGTTGACAGAAACTACTGACTTAATTAAAACTTAGTCTACATTTGTTCTTCAACATTCTGCAAGATAACAAGGGTTATATTGTTTGTACAACACTGTTTCCTCTCTGGCATCATCGGCACTGCCTTGCTATATCCAAGGGAGCAGTAACAATAAAGCATATGTCTTTTTTTTTTAAATAAAAGTTATTAGTTTGATGGCCCCATTTAATAATTTATCACTGAGAATTTATTGGCCAAAGTGGTATCTGGTCACCGATGAGTCACTGATTCACAACCCAGAGTCAATGCACAGTGAGTGGGTTTGCTGCAGCTTATGTTACAGAGACAGAGTTTAGTGAAGTAACACCTCTGTGTGTAAAAGAGAAAATGTTTGTTTGCCAACTGTGTTCATTACTAAACAGATGGGAACTAGACTGTAATAAATTGTTTGAATTTTTCATGTGTCTTGAGTCTTGACTAAAAACTGGATAGTAACCAATATGCAATGGAAGAATCCTCTGTGTCTCAACATTCATGCAGCAATTCTTCAACCTGCTGCATGAATCTGCAGCTCTCTTTTTTACTAACTCTATCTGAAGGATTGATGATAAAACTTCAGAATAAGATATAAAATACAAGTATTTATATATGTTAGTATTAGTGCTGATGCTGATGAAACAAATGCAGATATTAGGGTTTTTGTTAGTTTTTTTGCCGTAACAACTTTATTGCAAAATAAAGCCAAATAAAATACCAATTATTTATAAACAGTAACAAAGATTTCTTATCATGACTTTATTACTTAAAGAGATAAGTATAATGTTAGAAAATATGTATGTAAAAAAAATAAAAATTCTTGCATAACATACTACTGGTATTTGCTGTCGGCCTACTTTTTTCACATTAGATTAAATACTAATAATTAATACACTCCTAAACTTACTCCCAGGTCAAACCAGATACAATGTGGTTATTATCTTCATGTAGCATTAAGTAGATGCTGTCGACTGTGCTGACCAGAGCACTGACTTCAGGCCATGAGCTGTGGGTCAGTATTATAGCGCAAAGCACCTTTTTGCACTATAATTATACAGCACTGAATAAATGCTCATAGATGCTTCAAAGTGTTATCTGACAGCTCGCCTCATCGTCACTTGAAACATGGTCTTCATTTGTTCCAGTGTCATCGGTACAGATGTGAACCCAATCTCTGATGAACACATTTGAATTAATCACAAGCTATAAATCAGAGGCATTGTCAGTCAGGTTGATAAAGAGAGAATAGTGGCTGATTTTGACCTGCATTTGTGTAACTTGTAGTTTCCATTTCCATTCCATGGCTGTTGTGTGGCTGTCAGCCTGCCTCACTTTACTGATTAGACACATTTGAAGACATTTTGGATGAGATACCATCACAGAATTTGTCCATTCTCAACCTCCCAGTTCATCATTTTGTATTTTAAGAGCTTGTGTTAATACACCATTAAAGGAATTTCTTCAGAGACAAATGTGGCTAACTTGAAATGTAACTATAGGAGCATTCTGAGCCTACAAATAGGAGAAAAATAAATATACACATCCACAGACTGTATGAATCATCAGAAAACTGATAGAATACACACACTGCTGCCTTTTCACTATGAAATAAAACAAACTGATAAACTTTCCGATCATAATAAATAGAGGAAATAAAAACGTTAAATCAATGCCCTTTAGAACAATCAGAAGTCTAAATCTGGCTTTGGTTTGTCTGGCCCTAGTTTTTCTATTAATGTAGAAGATTTGACACTTAAACTTCATTTAGGGAGTACCACCTGAGTATGATGGTGAGTTTATGTGAGATCGCAGCTCTGTACTGAAACATGAGGCAACCAAACACATGACTCTGTCTCACCACTGATGATGATGTGATGAAAAACTTGATCAACTTTTTTTACAAGTTCACTTTCCACAGAATGTTCAGTCACCTGATGCCCTGTCACTCATACAGTTACATTAACACCACAGTGTGCCAAAATATGGTGTAAGTGCAGAGTACACAGTGCAGCAATTAAATTGATGATGCATGTGATCCAGTTGCAGAAAGAAGGAGCACATACACAGTGGGGACTTGTCTTTGTTAAGTCTCTCCTATCACAGCATGCTGTGGACAGTGTATGGAGCCAGCAAAATGGAAGTTTAGTTATTCACTGCTCCTTATATACTGTTCATCTTTTTTGCTGGTCGACATACCTGAATTATCATTTATATCTCCTGGCTCCATGAAAACAATGAGTTAGGATGGGCAGTAGTTTCGGGAATGTCAAATTCCAAATGGTAGGGCTATGTAAGATCACAGTCTGTGGCTACGTCCACACTGCTACGTTTTCATTTTAAATCGGCATTTGCAAACATCAGAAACGATCTCCGTCCATTCTATCACAGGAAGCAGACAGGAAGTCTTCTGTGCAGTTGATTAGTTGCAAAATATTCTACAAATGAGGAACAGCAAAGACAGCTGCAGTGTTAAAATGCAGAATTTAACTGCACAACAGCTTCTAGCAAAGACAACAAGACAAGGTCAGTGATGCTTGTAATTCCTTATCCATGTTGCTCTCACCACTGGTAGTCGAGGCAGATGAGACCCAAACAGGGAGCAGAATGGGGGGGGGGGGTTGCAACGCAACCCCAGATTTTTAAAACTAAAAGGGGGCCAGCAGCATTTCCAAAAGTCTCCAGAAGAAACTCCAGAGTAGCTTGGATGGGAGGTGAAAACATGGCAAAATAGATGTGTTTTAAAACGAAAACGTAGTAGTGTGGACGTAGCCTAAGTACGGATAATTGAACATGGGACCATCCCACTTTTGGAACATCCAACTGTTGACTCCTGGGTCTGTAATTGTTGTTTCATGTGTGTCCTTGCTAAACATGACTTTTAATGTCATTGCAGTTGTAGAAATTAAACACGAATGATGTGAATGATCAGATAAATGATGTTTGAAATCAGGTACTTTAAATTTAAATGCTGCGAGACATTGGCTGCAGTCACATATCTACAGTATGTAAACCATGTTGATTTGAAAATCCCTGGTTGTGACCACGTCAGACCAAGGTCAGATTATTGTTGTCAAATGTCAGACATCATCGCCTTGTTGTGAAAGGGATATATGAGGTGGTACCTTCCAGTGTCAGAGAAACACTGTTATAAATCCACACACTTCACTCAAATTAAATTCTGCTCTTGCAGCAGCCCTAATGTGCAGCCACAGTGGCTGAATCTATTCTCAGCTTCTACAGGTGCCTGAAAAGAAAGTCCTGCAGGCAGAACAAAGGAGAGTGTCCAGAGAATGGAAATGTCAAATGCAGTGCAGGGAGCCAGTGTTAAGCCCAGAATCACACTCATGCATGCACAGCCACACTCGGCTGCTAAATGCTAAACTAATTGTGATCCATTCCTGCCTGAAATGATTTGGAAACCATTAGAAACAAGTGTTGAAACTTGAAATGGAATTATTTGTCTTGTATCGCACAGCAATTTAGGGGCCAATCAATAGACAATGTGCTTAATCTAACTGATTTCAAGACTCATTGTTCAGTGGAGGACGGCTGAACGAGGTGGAGAGACAGCACAGTCCAGGACTCGGTGAACTGGCAGTTGTCTTTAGCCTGTGTTTCATCTTTTTACAATGAAAGTGTCAGTTAGTGAGCAAGAATAAAATAATGTAATCAAATAGTGAAAATAATGAAAATATCCTTTTGATGATATGAAAATGTTTCCAGTTGAGTACCTTGTGAAACAGACGGTCAGATTGACTGGCCAGACAGTCTGTAACGAGAATTCAGATTTCTACCTGATGCTGCAAGAGCATGGGTCCTATTCGATTAGATTTCTACATGTGTACACAGGTACACAGGTATGGAAGAACCAGCCCAAAGAGAGATTTATGTGTTTTAAGTCAACCATGGGGAACATCTGCGCACACACAGTCACTCAGCAGCAACACACCGAGTAATACAATGCAAAGCGCAGTGGTACACAGTATCCAGCATCTTTCCACACTGTGTAGGTGCATTCATTAAGAGCAGTTCAGAAATGTTGGAATAATGAAAAAAATACCACATTTTGTGGATTTTGACTATAGGTACCAGGGTTTCAATAGACTGCTGTGATCACAAGTTAAAGAAAGACAGACCCCGCAGATTTTGATATATATAATTTATTGGGTTCTTTACCTTATCACCAAAGTGGAAATATGTAAACCAGTTCACACATTGTAAAATGCAGGTTTCACTGTATAAAACATTCAGCACCTCACTGTCACCTGAGTAAAATCAAACAGTACCCTCTGTGACGCAAATCATGAATTATGCATTTTAAACGTAAAATAAGAAAAGTGGGAATCTCCATAATGTAATTTGGTTTGATTGGAGATAATTGTAAACATTGATGGAAGCCCATTTAAATTCCCACCGTCCCTGCAGTTTGTTCCTGTTGATGCTTTTACTCTCTGTAGGGCCGTACAGTGTGAATGCTAAACTTCAGTTGTCACATAAAAACTGGAAAATCTTTGAATGTGTTTCTGCAGAACTCATTTTCGATCGCTGCTGAAACCTGACTGGACTCTGGTGGGACACAGTATCTAATCATGGCCGCTCATTCATCCCTGTATGCTAATGACACCATGAATAAACCAATAGGATTCAATTCCCACAGTTGGTTACAGTAACCGATATTTCTGTCAGCATTTCCTGTGATGACAAATTAGGAACATGGTATTGACAAAAGCTAATTTGTGGACCAACCCCCCCAGAGATGTGGACTTCATTTCTCTGGGGCCCAGCAGGCCGGACCATTTGTCATCATTATCATTACCTGACCTGACCCAAGCGCCTACTGCTAAAGCCCAAAATAACTCTGTCTAACTATATGTCCCTGTATTTTTTCTCAACAGTAATAAAACAGTACACTTATTTAAATGAGAAACAGTGTTTACTCTAGCCCTGAGCTGCAAATCTCAGCTGAGAAAGCCACTGCCTATCACAAATGCATCCAGCTGAAAGCATTGAGGTGTGACTTCATGGACGGACACACACTGTATGACAAGGACAGATCTGGATGGCGCCTGTTAAGAAAGTAAATCCCAAATCACTCGCAGGACCACGTAAATCTGACCGGGATGGCCCTGATTCACAATCAGCCCGAGGCAGACAGCTCTCAGCTTGTGACCACAGTACAAATCCACCAAACTGTGTGGCCACATCCTCCCTCCTCCTCCTCTTCCTCCTCTGCCCCCCCCACTAATCCTTTTTCAATCATGCACTTGTTGGATTATGCGTCTATGTAATTCTTCTCAGGTATTGTTTTATAACTTAATATGATATTTCAATTTGGGTGAGTTGGGTTATGGGTTTAGGACACCGTGCAGGATTGGATAAACAGCGGAGGTCTGCAGGCAGCAGATTGGAGCAGAGGTTAGT